CAAGAAAACACCAAAGTGAATGTGAGAAGAGACTCTGAAACTTGATTTTGAACATAGAGAAGATAAAGCAAATTAAAAAAATGATGAAGTAAAAATTTCAAAAAGTAGCTCAAGAAGACAAAGTCAAATATTATAATGAAATGTGTAAAGACCTGGAATTAGGAAACCAAAAGGGAAGAACATGTTCAGCATTTACTCAAGCTTAAAGAACTGAAGAAATAACTGAAGCCTCAGGCTGCAACATTAAAAAGGATTCTATGGGCAAAACATTGAATAACATTGGAAACATCAAAAGAAGAAGGATGGAATACACCATCACGGTACTAAAAGGTATTGGTTGATGTTCATTCATTTTAAGAGGTACCATGTGATCAAGAACTGAAGGTATGGAAGAAATCCAAGCAGCACTGATGAAAAAATTAGGCTCCAGGAATGGATGGAATGCAAATTGAAGTATTTCAACAAACTGATGGAGGACTGGAGGTGCTCACTTGTCTATGCCAAAAAATTTGGAAGACAGCTACCTGGCCAACTGATTGAAAGGGATCCATTTGTACCTATTCCAAAGAGAAGTTACCCAACAGAATGCGGAAATGATTGAACAACATCACTAATATCACATGCAAGTTAAACTTTGCTTAAAGTAATTCAGAATTGATTACAGCAGTACATCCACAGGGAAATTCAAGCTGGATTCAGAAAAGGATGTGGAACACAGGATATAATTGCTGATATCAGATGGATTCTGGCTGAAGGTAGAGAACACCAGATGGATGTTTGCTTGTGTTTTATAGACTATGCAAAGAACTCCACTCTGTGGATCATAGCAGACTCTGGATAAAATCGAGAATAATGAGTATTCCAGAACACTTTACTGTGTTTATGAGGAACCTGAACATAGACCAAGAGGTGCTGAATGGTTTAAAACCAGGATAGGTGTATATCAGGGTTGTATCCTTTCACCATACTTATCCAATCTGTATGCTGAGCAAATGATCCAAGATGCTCGATTATATGAAGAAGAACGTGGCATCAGTATTGGAGGATGTGTCATTGACAACCTGCGATATGCAGATGGGAACACACTGCTTGCTGAAAGTGAAGAGGACTTGAAATTCTTACTGACGAAGACCAAAGACTACTGTGTTCAGTATGGGTTGTACCTTAGTGTAGAAAAAAATCCTCACACTAGACCAATAAATAACATCAAAATGAATGGAGAAAAGACTGAAGTTGTCAAAGACTTCATTTTCTTGAATCCACAATCAATGCTCATGGAAGCACCAGTCAAGAGATCAAACACCAAACTGCGTCAGTCAAATCTGTTGCAAAGGACTTTCATTACAGTATTAAAGAACAAAGATGCCAGTTTGAAGACTAAGGTGCGCCTGGCCTAAGTCATGGTATTTTCAATAGCCTCATATGCATGTGAAAGTTGGACAGTGAATACGGAAGATTGTAGAAGATTAGATTACTTTGAATTATGGTGTTGGCAAAGAATGTTGAAAATATCATGAATTGCCAGAAGAACAAGCAAATCTGTCTTGAAAAAAGTACAGCCAGAATGCTCCTTAGAAGTCAATATGGTGATACTTTGTTTCTTGAGCTTTGGATATATTATCCAGGAGGGACCAGTCCCTAGAGAAGGGACATCATGTTTGGAAAAATGGAGGGTCAACGAATAAGAGGAAGACCCTCAACAAGATAGATTGGCACAGTAACAATAGCAGTGGGCTCAAATACAACAACAAGTGTGGGGTGTCACAGGACTGGTCAGTGTTTTGTATTGTTATGCATAAGGTCACTGTGAGTCAGAACTGATTAGATAGTAACAATAACAATTGCATCTAATACAATGCTCAAAGTTTTTTAAATTAACAATGACAAAATTTCATTTTCTAGTGGAATTATGGTAAGAAAAATGTTTTTAGACCAAATCAAAATGCTAATTTTTTAGCTTTGAAAACTTACATATGATCACTCTAAATTGTTCATTCAGACATATAAAGATAGCTGAAATGCTGAGGCATCATTAACAATATGCTTTCATAGTTCATTGTTCTAAGGAAAAAAGTCTTAATTTTTTTGAAATTTTAATGTATGAGGGTAAGTAAAAAAGTACTGTTACTTTGGTAAAGTTGCCTTTCTCATCTCAAAGAAGGCAGAATGGTAACAAAAAACACAGGGAAGAAATTGGATCAGTGATGTTATATTGTGGGGATTGCAATCAATGAGATGAAGCAAAATTGTCTGTGACTTATTGAATGTAAAACTGATGCTCTGTTCTGTAAACCTTCACTCAATTCACAATAAAAATTAAAAAAAGAAAGTAATGCTACTAGGGTTCCAGTCTATACATGCAAAACTTTATTCCAAATAAAATACATTTAAACATTTGTCTGCTATGAGTGGATAACTGTAAACAAATTCTCTCAGTAACACACATGTCCTGCTAGGGTGCCTTAAAAAAAAAAGTTCAGTCAAAACAGTGGCTTCTGGAGGGTTCTGCTGGGTCAGTTAAATTCAAGATAGAAAGGTCAGTTTAAAAGATTATCAGATTACCCAAGAGGTAATCTGTGTTGAATGAAGTACAACCAGAATGCTCCTTGGAAGCTAGGATGGCCAGACTTTGTTTCTCATACTTTGGACATATTATCAGGAGGACCAGTCCCTGTAGAAGGATATCATATTTGGTAAAATGGAGGGTCAGGGAAAAAGAGGAAGACCCCCAACAAGATAGATTGGCACGGTGGCAGCAGCAGTGGGCTCAGGTGTAGAAACGATTGTGAGGTTGGCACAAAACTCGGCAGTGTTTCATTGGGTTGCTATGAGGTGGTACTGGCGCAATGACACCTAACAACAACAATCTTGATAGCTATTCTCAAAGGACACATGATGAAAAGGACTTATTAATGAGAAGTTTTAAGAAAATTGAAAACTGCATTGGTGAGAAAAAGGCCAGGAAAGCTGCACCCAGGAATTCCTTCCATCACAACAATGCACCTGTTTGCTTGTTCTTGGAGAGTAGCAAGGGCTGTCCTACACAAACTTCATTGGAAAACCTTACTCTATCTACCCTGCATCCCTGATGTTGCCCCTTCAGACTTCTTTTTATTCCCCACACTCAAAGAACATTTCAAAGGTATATGATTTTAGTCCTTTGAGGATGCCCAAACTGATGTTTTGACACGTTGTAAATCCAAGAGTGCCAAATTCTTTGGAGAAGGGTTAGAGAAATGGAAACACTGTCTTTGGAAGTGTATAGACCTAGGTGAAGGATTTGTTGAGAAACAGCAGCTTCACATTTTGATATTTTTGTTTAATAAAGGTTTCTATGATTTTATAGTAATACTTTTTGACTTACCCTCTTATTAGAGAAACATGAGAGAATAATTTCAATGTTTAGTTTGCTTTGCAAAATGGTAGCACTATTTTTTTTTCATTTGGAAACATCTATTATTTATTTATTTGCAATTGTATCTAAGGATGGTGCATTTAAGGAATTGTAGGACTCAAAGGTTTTACTTATATCATAGGCTTGTTCTAACCACTTGCCGTGTTCATTATATATGTTATCTTGAAGTAGGAATGAGGGGTACAAAAAGATTGACCACTTCACCATCCTAAGTTCTACTATTATTGTTAAGTGCCTTCGAGTTGGTTCCAACTCATAGCGACCCCGCAGAGCATTTCCAAGGAGTGGCTGGTGAGTTTGAACCACCAACCCTATGATTCAAACTGACTTTGTGGCCCAGTGCTTATCCTATAGCACCACACTAGGACTCCAAGTTCTGTTATGTTTTTGTTAAGTGCTGTCAAGTGGGTTCCTATTCAGTGATCCTGTATAGGGTTTCCAGTGAGCAGCTGGTGGGTTTACAGTCCAGTGCTGATTCTATAGTGCCACACCAGGGCCCTAAAAAAAATGGCCAGGATTCTGTAGATTCATTTCAATTTTTGAGTCCACATAAATGGCTAAAACACTTTCAGTTCCTCTTCTGGCATGTGCAGCAGGCTACCATTAGAGTACTTATTGCTGAGATTAGTTGAATTATTGAAAGTTTTGAGTTTTTTTCAACTTGTAACATTCTAACTTTCTAAAGAATTATATTTAATGAAACATTTGGTTAATTTTTTTTTTCCAGGATGATAAGGGAAATGTTGTCTTCGGACTTTATGACTGCCAAACCAAACAAAATGAGGTAAAAAGTCACCACAAATCACGTGTCACTCATTGGTTACTTTACTGTTTTTAGATCTTTCCTTCTTTCTGTTCTTCCTTTTCCCAGATACACATCTCAGAAAAAAAAACATTTTCTAAAAATTTAGTTTCTATTTTGTTGTCTGCCTTCTCTTCTCTCTTTTACCCTCTCTTGGCATTGCCAGCTTTAAAATATTTTTAAAAAATTCTTTTTCAAGATACAAGAACTCCTGGACCAAGATAGAAATTCACATTTAACTGAGATATATGCTGTGGACTTTTAGTCCTCTGAGATTTAAATAAAATAAGATCAAACCAAATTACCCAATATTTTGTAGGAGTGTAGGGGGTCCAATGGCCTCAAAGCTCCCCTCCCAAGAGCCTTGCAGATGGGGGTGGGAGTGGGCCAGTCTTTTTTTCCATGGTAATTGTCTAGGGTGGGGTGGTTGTTGTCCACAGTTTTTTTGTTTTGCTAGGTTTTTACTTTCCTGGACCCTCAGCTATAAATAGTAGGTTTTTGTTGAGACTTTTTTTTTGGTCTATTCCTGTTGCCATTTTTAGGTTATTTGCTTCTTCAGCTTCAATCCTGGGATATATGAAGCAAAAAGCAAACCCAGGGAACTCACCACGAGACATTCCTCAGGACATCCCTAGTGGTCTGCCTCCTTCTTTCTACTTTTCAGAGCCTCCTTAGGTTTGTTGTTTTATCCAACGTCCAGAGATTTCTAGCTATACTTAGTGGGAGGAAGAGGGAGAATGGATTCCACTTTACCTTGGTTTTTCTCTCTGAAGTGTTGACTGAATAATCTGTCTTTACAGTGGCCAAATGGGAAGCAAGGTCTACTTATTCATAACCAAACAAGTTCCCAATACCTTTGCTCCCTCATGCCCTTTTTCCCCTCCTTCCATGCCCCTTTATGCAGTCCTTCTTTGTTAGTGCGTACAAGAGTGGGTACACTCTCAACTGGTGAAATACAAGTGAATAGTGGACTTAGTTTAAATTTGAGACTTAAGCTTTTCTCTTTTCCACTGGGTTTGGTGATAGGCAAAGAAAGGTCTGGAACTTCTGTAGCTTGGGAGAATAGAGCTTGGCGTTATCTGGGTGGCTGGCCACTATATGGAGGCTGAAAACTGATTTAACCCCAAAAGCCAAGAGATTGGGATTTCCAGCATAGACCATACCAATTCTGAAGCCATCTACCCTATTCTATTCAACTCCCTGAGCCTTTTTATGTAAACCAGCTCAGGGCAGATTTTTTTGTTGCGAAGAATTCTCATGCTTGACTAATTTTTTTTTTTTTAGACTACTTTTTGACCCAGAAATTCCACTTTGCAGGGTGTTTTTTTGTTTGTTTGTTTGTTTTGAGTCTACAAAATGAGTATACAAATTCACAAAGATGTATATAAAGGAAAGTTCATTGTGATCACTGTAGTTCCTTGAAGTAGGAAGTGGTCTAAATGCCTTTCAGTAAGTTCTTTGGAAATCCATGCACCCATTAAAGATGAAAGGATTAAGACATGTATAAATGTATAAGGAAGCTTCAAAAACCTTCATGGAAAAAATCCATTATCTTTCAGTTTCATTTTTTCATGCACTTTTTGAAGCTTCCTCGTATATTGGCATAGAAGGCCCTCCAAAGCATTGTTACATGAAAAATTAACTTGCTAGAGAAATACACTCCATATTAAAAAAAACAACAACAACAAAAACTTGCAAGAAAATGATGCGATATGTCTGTATAAATGCCTAATGAAAACAGATGATCTGGGAGGTTGCCGAGCCCATTGTAACCGAGTCTCCTTTGGGAAGGGAGTGGGGGCTGGGTGAATATAATGGAAGGTTTGACCTTTTTATTTGTTAGTGTTTGCATCTTTCAAGACTGAGATTGTGTTTATGTATTATTTTATAGTCAACAGCATAAAACATTAAAAATTATACTGACACATCCATGGTTCTTATAAACTGAATCCCTCAAATAAAGCAAGAATCAAAAGAACCCAAAACTTCTCATGTGAATTCAGTACCTTCATATTAACACAAGGTCACTTTCTGGACCTTTCCAGCCGTTTTGTCTTCCCTGACCACAGGGCTTCAGTGTGTTTACAATGTTTCTTAGTCTGCAGGTACTAACTACCTTCTAATACTTGTGCTCATCACCATTTCTCTTTGCCTCTCTCCTGTGTCCTTAAACTCCTCTTGCTCTCTTTTATCCTTTGATTGCACTCCTTTGAGAGAGTTTGCTTAACATAACTGCGATTATCTCCAGTTCCTTGATGTGCACATAACATTCTCCTTCTGAATGATCATTTTCATGTTCTTTAACTCAGTGAAATGGAAATTAGCAGCATTTAATAAATTTCAAACAGCATCAAGAAAATTAAAAAATAAAAAAGGAAAAATTAAATAAAGGTAAAGACTACTTTTGCCCATCTTCTAAATATGAGAGTCCTACACGAGATGTGTTTGTGAGTCTTTAAGGCACAACTAATGATATTATAATCAGTGTGTAATTTCTAAAAAACTTTTCTTGCTTCACTAATTATGACAGCTAACGCTTTAATACTTATTATGTGCAGCAGATAACGTAGTGCTGCAGATGGATCGCCTCACACTATCTGACAGCCTCATGAGATAGATATTATTACCATTCCTGTTGTATTGATGGGAGGATGCAGAGGTTGAATAATTTGTCCAGGTCACATGGTTAGCAAGTGTCAGAGTCAGGATTCGAACCTGAGTTTAGTATGGCTCCAAGATCTGTTCTCTTTTCCACTATGGTCTGTTGCTTCATAGCTAAATGTCAATGCCAAACACAATCTACCTTAATAAAGTTTTTTTAAGCAATTATTTGGAATTTCTCTATGTGAATAAACTAATTTATTAATGGCTCCTTAATAAGATCTTTTGCCACAATCATCTTTGGTAGAGAATTCAATGGAAATTGAGGGTCATATAATTGTTATTTAATGTGAAATGCCACTTTGAAAAAAATACTTTTATTCTCTCTCTTTTAAATAGCATCTCTATATCTTTGAGACAGACTTACAGGCTATCAGTTGCTCTATCAACAGTGAAAGAACTTTGCTTGGTAAGTTCAATGCTTTCTTCTATTGCTTCATGTCAAGAACTAAACTACATCTTTTAAGGATTTCGAAATACAAATGTGTTTCAAAAAGTTCATGGGTAATTCCATTATCTTTTATTCCATTTTTCCATAAATATTGGGAAGCACTCACATATTGGCTTTTCACAATATTAGATTATTATGCAATGTTGATTTTCTAGGATGTCAATGTTCTTAGTACATTCATTTGAAATCCAGTGGACTGTAGGTTCCACCTACAAAGATGGATGCTTTGTATTCTGCCTTTATCATTCACTGACAGATCCTTTGACCCTTTACTTATTTCAGGTATAAAATAGTGAACTTTAGTGAGCTACCAAGTGGATTGCTAATAGATGTTTTTTTCCCTTTTCTGTTAGCTACAAGTTTAGTTCAATCTACTAAAGAAGGAAGAAGAAATGAGCTTCAACCAGGTAATGAAATTATACTTTTTAGTGCATATTGACATATAAAGTTTTATTGGAATAGTAAGTTGAATTTCATGCATGTTTAGAAATAACCTTATCTTAGAATGAAAAGGCAAAGGTCATGGAAAGTGTGAACAAATCTTTAAAAAAAATTTTTTTTCAAGTAAACAGGAAATTATAGAAAATAATATACCACGTAATTTTTTCTTATATGTGACTAAGCATTGACTAATACGTAATGCATTCTGAATAGTCTACCAATCTAAAACAAACAAACAAACTGAACCCACTGCGGTTGAGTTCATTTTGACTCATGGTGACCTTATAGGGTTTCCAAGACTGTAATATTTATGAGAGCAGAAAGCCACATCTTTCTCCCATGGAGCAGCTGGTTGGTTTGAACTGCTGACCGTTCAGTTAGCAGTCACACACTTTAATCACTGTGCCACCAGGGCTCCTTAGTCTACCAATACTAAAAATCATTTCTACTTAATGCCCACTTAATGTGATGCACCACCCCCCCCCCCTTTTTTTTTTTTGAGGGCAGGCTAAGGGAATGATCTGTCTATAAGTCAGTGTTGTTGTTAAGTGCCATTGAGTCGGTTCTGACTCATAGCTGCCCTGTGTAAGGTTTCCAAAGAGTGGCTGGTGGGTTTGAACCACCAACCTATTGGTTAGCTGTCCAACGCTTATCTTACAGCATAAGTATTTGTTTTTTTAGGTATCCATTCATAACTTTATAAGTGTTGAGTGTGGGTCAGGCACTGTGCATTGTGTTGGGGTTACAATGGGATACAAAAAGGGATGGTGGCTGTTCTCATGAGCAGTTCTCGTGGACCTCAGAGTCTAGACATGGGTTGCAATTCCAAATGCATGCAAGAACCAGAATGATCATGTGCATGAATGAAGCAGAATAAATGTAAGAAAAGTCAGGTGACCAAGGATTTTTATTTGTTTTTCTCAATTTTAACATAGTTGCTAAGACATTTTGTTTTCTTTAATGCACAAAAGAGCTATAGGCATGGATGAGCCTGGAGGACATTATGCTGAATGAACCATAAACTTGGGCAACCACAAAAGAACAAATACTAGATGAGACCACTATTGTTAAAAAGTCAAGAAAAGGTTTTCACACTAAAAGGAAAACACTAAGCTGTAGGGATTCTTGGGAGGAGGTATATATCACATTTTCAAAGTGCAGTCACTTCTCAGCTCTTTGTATTGCCATCTGGAGATGTAAATCAGTGGGGCCAGTTATTTCAGTTTATCGAGAATTTTATCAATTTATCAAAAGAAGTCTGGACTGTTTAAATCTTAAGTCTTCACTTATAATCTAATTTTAAAATCTTGGCTCAAATATTAAAAAAAAAAAAAAAAAAAATCTCAGCCAATGATAACATATAGACTAGAGCCAGTCTATGGACTATCATTTCACCCTCTGGTCTAGATCTCACACAAATATACTCTGATCCTGATAATTAGTAGATCTCACACAAATCTATTCTGATCCTGCATTACTTTGTAGGTTTTCTGGTTTTATGGCACTTAAATTCCTTCTTTTGTTAGCACAGCACAGTTCCTACTTAAATGTGGTTGCATGTGATGAAAAACCACTTGTACATACTTTCCACATGAGGCTTATGAGGCAGTCTTGGACTTCTTCTGACGCACACTTTCCCACAGAGCCATCTTAGAGTGACAGGGAAACCAGAGTGGAGTGTAGATGGGACCTTCTCAGGGATCTCAGTAGAAAAGTTTATGGGAGATGTCAGTGGGCAGGAGGTTTTCCCGAAATCTCAGCTTCTGTATTACCATCCTTGTTCACTCTTCCACCATGTTGCCTTGAGAACCGCGACAACTCTCTTCCCTCTTCTGTGCCATGTTATTCTCTTACCAAGCCCTTTAGCACTGTCTGCAACTTGTTGCATTAGGTACAGTTCTCCCTTCAGAAATGAGGGGACTGGTCTTGTTGTTAAGCACCATCAAGTTGGTTCCAACTCATTGCGACCCTATATAGCGTTTTTAAGGAGTGGCTGGTAAGTTTGAAATGCTGACCTTTCACTTAGCTTTCCAGTGCTACTACTCCAGTGCTCTGTAGCGCCACACCAGGACTCCGGGACTGGGCTAGCTTATGTAATATATGACCTATGACATTGGTGTCTTGACCCCCTCCAAACAAGAATATGGGCATAAGGGTATGGTTAGGTAGAGTGCTATCTTCTGGATTAATGCATCATTTTGCCAAGAAGGGAAAGGTTGTAATTGCTTGTTGTTCCTTTTGATTGTGAGGCTGGGCATCTATACACATTTTGAATCATCTCTTTGTGCTTTTCAGTTCTTCTTGGGCCTTGTACCTTTTAGCCTTGGAAATTCTTTATTATGCTGGTGAACAAAATCAATTCAACTCTGTTCTGACACCAGCTATAAATGTAGTACTTCTTTCTCTGACCTTAACCAGAGCTAGGTCAGATCTCACAAGGTAAAGGACACAGTCCTACAGACTGCCGAGTTGCTTAAGTCCTCAGAGACCAGCCACAATCTTGAAGGTTCCCATTACGCCTTCACTTCTGACCTGCTGGCTTCCGAATGTCAGTCATTAACTTGGGATTGATCTTCTGAGTCCCACTGCTATTTTGGATTTGTTCACTAGATTGGCTCACGAAAGACTTCTGATGTGGCACTGCTGTAGGATTAGCACTTGACTGCAAACCACTAGGTCGGCAGTTCAACCCACTAGCTGCTCCTTGGAAACCCTATGCAGGGTCGCTGTGAGTCGGAACTGACTCGACCACACTTAACAACAATAACAATAGCAAAAGTGACACACAAGTAGAAGTTTGGAAATGTTTCCAGTGGAGCTTCCATGTCCTCCCCAAATGTGCTACCTTCCCCTGGGCATCAATTTCTACCATTGATCAGGAAACTCATGCAGATTCAGTATTTATATCGGAGTCTTGTTTACACAGGCATGGTGGGTGCTGTCATTGCCCACATGGTTGAATTCACCTGCTGGCCCTCCTCCCCTGATGTCTAGCTAATGTTACCTGGTAGGTCTTTCTGGCTGACCAGCCCCTCCCTCTGAAGAGATAGCTTATTAGTATACTAAGTTATATATACACTAGGTAGATGTGGTCTTGAAGTCCCTCTATGAATAACACAAATACAGTCACTGGGGGAATTCTAAAGATTGAGAGGATTTTCCCTCTGTAACTAAAGACAAATACTACATTCTTTGCATAAGTTGCTTTTGTTGTAGGGCTTCCTAGGCGTAAAACTTTAGGGGAGCAGATCACTAGTTCTTTTCTGTCTTCAGTTTGGTGGGTTTGAACACCAGCCTTTTGGAAAGCAGCAGAGTTCTTAATTACTGCACCAGCAGTGTTCCTAATTAGAGTCTGTATGATGTTTACCATCTCTGCTTCATGGTCTTACAGAGTTGTTGTTGTTATGTGCTGTGGAGTCAGTTCCGACTTATAGCGACCCTGCACAGGATTTCCGAGGCTGTAAATCTTTACAGGAGCAGAAAGCCTCATCTTTCTTCCACAGAACGGCTGGTAGTTTCGAACTGCTGATCCTGAGGTTCACAGCCCGATTCATAACCACTACGCTACCAGAGCTCCTTGTCATACAGAGTAGCAGTGATTAATATATTATAAAAACTTTTTAGTAAGTTTTATTTGATTACATTAAATTTTCACTTGGCTATTCTTGCTTGGAGTCCTACTGTTGTATTATAGGATAAGTACTGGACTGCTAACTATAAGGCTGTTCAAATCCACCAGCCGCTCCTCAGAAACCTTATACAGGGTCACTATGAGTCACATCTACTTGATGACACTTAACAACGAATGCTTGCTCAGTCTTTAAAGTTTGATATATTTGTAGTGAGATTATGTGCTCACATCTTTTAAAATGTTAGAATGTTTTTAAGTTATTATGATGGATTCATCATAAACTAAACTGAGACCTGTTGCCTTTGAGTCAATTCTCAAAGAGTCATAGCGTCCCTAACAAACAGAGTAGAACTGTCTTGTAGGGTTCCCAAGGCTGGAAATCTTTATAGACGCCGTCTGTCACATCTTTGCCCACAGCGCAGCTGGCGGGCTGTAACCACAGACTAAGCTTTAACCACTGTACCACCAGGGCTCTTTTGGATACGTCATAACTGCATATTCTTCATTCACCTTTTAGAGGAACCACTGCTGTAAGAAGCAACTCTGCCCAGGTGTGATTTAGCAGTGGCTTACCTCAACTTCCTGCTTTTTGCCCAGAGCTCTTGGAAAAATCTGTTTACAGCCTATAGGTACACAACCTGGAATAGGGTTGGAAATAACATCTAATAAGGCAACACATGGTCATGGGGGGAAAGTTGCACCTCCTTTTCATTCCTCAACTGAATGAATAATTCTGAGATTCATTCCACACAGTTCAAGACTCCCAGCGGTTACCATATGCCCCATAAACTAGCTTACTCTTTTCTCCTGTCCCTCCTTACCAGCCCCATGTGGCTAGAGTCCTCCTGTCTCTTAAGATTAATTCTTGTCTTAGTTTGGGTTTCCCCATACTTAGGGCCCGAGACAAGAATTTGAGTACAGTTGGCTTATTTGTGGGATGATCTTATTTAAACAGAGACCTGACAGAAAGGAAGGAGCAAGCATGTGGCTATAGGGACAACACGCTCTGGAGAGTGTGAACAGTCAGCACAAAGGCCTTAAGGCTGGAGAATCCTTGGTAGATTCCAGTGTGCGGCACAGTGAGGAGGTCAGTGAGGCCGGAGTAGGGTGAATAAGACCTAGTGGTGAGAATTGAGGTAAGAGGATAAAGGGGATGAGGTGCAGGCAGATCAGGTAGTGCCTAGGAGGTCATTGTAAAGAATTTGGTCTTCACTGAGTAAAATGTGAAGCAATTTTGAGCAGAGGATTTACTTTATAAAAGGATCGCTGTAGCTGCTTTGTGGGAAATAGTGCTGTTGAGTTGATGTGTTCATGGTAGGGACAGACAAATAAGTTTGGCTTTGGACATGGTAAGTTTGAGATGCCTTTAGATGACAGGTTGTTGTTTTGTGTGCCGTGGAGTCGTTCCGACTCATAGCGACCGTACATTGGGTTTCCGAGGCTGTAAATCTTTACGGGAACAGACCGCCTCATTTTTCTCCTGTGGAACCGCTGGTAGTTTCTAGGCAGTTGTAAATCAAAAGTCCTTGTGAAAGGTTGGATAAGAGATAGAGCTTTGGGAGAGTCATTAGTGTATGGAAGGTATTGTCCATCATAGGTGGGCTTTATTTTGTTAAGATTTCAAAAACAGTGTAACTAACAAGTATTCTAGAATCTGATTTCAATTTGAATAAATATTTAGGTTTATTTTATCTGTCAGTAATTGACTTTATAAGTCATCTGATTATGATGTATGTTTTTGTATGTGTGCAATTTGCTGAAAATTATGTGTTAGGCTAATGGGAAAGCTGAAACTAGAACTAATGTCTCCAGAGTACAATCCAGAGAGTTTCCCAGCACACTGAGTATACAGAGTGTGTTACTGAAAGAAATTCCTGTTTGCAAATGTTTACTTTAATCAGGATTCTAGTCACTATTAGTTAAGTGTCTGTGCTGCCATAGAGAAGGGGCAAATTTAATGTAGGAAAACGGTTTCTGTCCTTGAAGATCCTCTTAGTTTTAAAGATAACTAAATTTAGCCTATACCTGATTACCTCATTTGGGTACAAATTCATGCTAAAAAGGCCCATATATAAGGTGATCTATTTCCCCAATAAGAAGTTTCCTCATCTCCAAATTGGTTTTTTTTTTTTTTTTTGTCCCCCCATTAGACTATAACATTTTAGGACAGGATATAAAATCTCAAATGTCGGCTTGCACTATTCAATATAGTAATTTAATGTCACACATTTAATATAACAAGGGGTCCTGGTAAGATTGTGGTTGTGTATAGAGCTGCTCACCACAGGTCAGCAGTTCCAATGGACCAGCCATTCCAAGGGAGAAAGATGAGGCTTTTTGCTTCTGTAAAGATTTACTGCCTCGGAAACACTATACAGCGTTGGAACTGACTGGACAGCACACAGCCACCATTACCATTTGATAGAACTCATTTTGGCTCCATGTGATAAGCACTGGACTGTGAACCACAAGGTCAGTGGCTTGAGCCCACCAGCCCCTTTGTGGAAAAAAGATAACACCTTCTGCTTCCGTGAAGATTTAAAACCTTGGAAACCCCATACAGGGTCACTATGACTGGGAAATTACTTGAAAGGCACTTCACAACATTAAAATGGAAATTTGTTTCGTCCCCCTTATTCTCACATTTCACAGAACATTTCTATTCTATTTATTTTCACATATATCTTTGACACCAAAATTGTTCTTATCCCTAAGGCCGTCGATTAAGCAGACTCCAAAAGTACTTCACCCTTGCCCCCTTTCCAGTCATTTACAGCCCTTTAGAATCAGTACAGGAGAATATCACTGGGATTTTTATCCTAAGTCACAAACTCACTTACCAAGTAACAGTGGTGTCACTAGAGAGGTGTGGTGGTGGTGGGGCATGAATCACAGTGGTGACAATTCTCAGAGGGGGTGACACCAAAATGACCATCTATAAAAATTTTGTGCAGTGTTTCAAAAAAATGTATTTTTAATAAAAATGTTCCTGTAGTTAGTTATAAAGGAACCCTGGTGGGGCAGTGGGTTAAGCATTGGGATGCTAACTAAAAGGTCAGTGGTCTGAAATCACCAGTTGTTTTAAAGGAGAGAGATGAGGCAGTCTGCTTCTGTAAAGATTGGCAGCCTGAGAAACCCTTGGAGCAGTTCTCCTCGGTCCTGTAGAGTTGCTGTGAGTCGGAATGGACTTGAGAGCAGTGGGTAAGCTAAGTTATAACAACAAAACATTTTTATGCAAGTCCAGCTTACATGTATTAATATACCTACCAGGCTAGAACTCTATGCTAATTTTCTATTTGAACTTTTGAATGTGCTCTGGTCAAAGCTGTCATTATTACCCAATTACAATGATGCTTCGAATCACATGGTTTCACCTGCACCTGCAACCGTGAACCGTTGTTTTTGTTGTTGCTATTGTTTTTTATAAGGAGCTCTGGTAGCATAGTGGTTATGAATCGGGTTGCTAATCTTAAGGTTGGCAGTTCAAAACTACCAGCTGTTTCGCAGGAGAAAGATGAGGCTTTCTGCTCCCGTAAAGATTTACAGCCTCGGAAACCCTGTACATGGTCACTATGAGTCAGAACTGACTCCACGCTACTTAACAACAACAAAATGTTTTTATAGTCACTGATTTTATTAGATTTTCTGGTGTTGTAGGTACAATTTTGTGGTAATTAATATTTGTAAACCTATATCAGTAACTTTTTTTGAGAATGAAGTACTAATTAAAGGAAAAGAAGGAGAAAAATAAAGGCAAGGTTTCTGTTCAGTTGCTAATAATGTTGTAATTCAGTATAGAAAGATTTTATAAAACAATTTTCTTGTTAGTATTCATATAATCTAAGAATTATTACATTTAAGCAATTTACAACAATACCAAATAACATTCTATGATTAAAATTGGTAATACACATTACTGTATGGTCTGGTATGGAAGGAGGTTCATGGGAGGTGGGAGGTGCACCATGAGCTACTGCACTGGGTACCACCAGACCTCGTGACATACTGCCAAACAACACTTGATTTTCATTCATGTTGTAGTTGTGGATTTATGATTCTACATAATAACTACTTACTGTCTTGCTTTGTCAAGTAATCTTTAAAAAAGCATGTTTACAGAGATTGCCAGTCCTTGTAATTTTAAGGTCATCGTCCAGAAATGATGGTTTTATGGCCTTTGTCACTTTCCACCTCCATTTTTAAAAGGTAAAGCCATAGTGCCAAGTTTCTTCCTTAAATACTGAAAGCTGCTACTGATTTAATTCCAGGTTGTTGTGCCCTCCCCAAATTGTATATTATTATTCAAAAGAAAGTCATTGAGAAAGCACCTGATAGTATGAGAGTCTTTACAAGAATTCAAGTATAAGACACATCATTGCAGGGGAGGGGAACTGTTGACCTAAATTTGGATATCGATGTTAACCTCCTTCTAGTCCATATCCGGGGGTTTCTTCCACATTGCTATCTGGTGTAACATTTGCTCAGTTGTGACACTGAGGAAGTAAATGGGTCTCTATCAGTGCTGCTATACACAAACCAAGCACAAGCCCTACAGATAGGTGCTGTCAACCATGACATGTTCATGCACCAGAACTATCTTTACATTCACATACACAAACAGTCTTTGCCATTGTGCTGCAGGACTGGAGGGAGACCCAGCTGAGCTGTGTTTGAGGCCAGGAGAGTTGGTGAGGCTATAGGACAGGACCTTGTTCCTCTCTCCATCCGTGTACATTGACTTCTCCCTTGTGCTGTTTTGTGCACCTACTTTGGGCTTAAGAAGTGTTAAAATAAATTTTATAGAAAATTACTTTTCTTTGTGGAATAGTTAATACAAAAGGTACTACATTTATATTATGTGGAAGACAAGCATATATTTCTCCTCATATTTTAAAGTTCTTAACTTTTAAATTCTTTAACTTTTTAGGGGTTAATGCCAAAAAGCTACAGAAAGTCCACACATGTGCTGCTTGTAAATTTTAGACTCTTATTACTGTAGAAGGAAAATGATATTAAACTCCAGTGTCTAAGGGACTCATACATTGCTGAGGAGAGTACAAAATGATACAACCTTTTTCTGAAGCTGCTTCTGTTTTAAATATGCTTTTTTATAAAGTAAATAACTTTCATAAGCCTGAAATTTGTCTCCCCTGGTGTCTGCTGATGCTTCCCGTTTACACTTGCATTTTCTGAGCATCTTGTGGGTTACATAATAAAATACAGCTTCTTCAGGAACCCTGAGGGGAAGAGCAGATTCTTTGCTAGGTTGATAGCTCTCTTAAGGTCCTGGAAACACCATACACCTGAAGGGTGGGCCTAGGTAAAGGACTGTAGTGTAAAGCACATCAAGGGACTTCATCATGAAGGGAGATTTGTTTTATCAGCTTACAATCAATGTATTAGGATTCACCAGCAATTCCTCTTGTTTTGGAAATTGTAATATGTAATAGTTTAGTCTTCATTATTGAAAGCTTCCTTTTCTTTGTAGGATCTAAGTGCTTAACTTTGTTAGTGGAAATCCACCCCATTAACAATGTGAAGGTGCTAAAAGCAGTGGATAGCTCTATTTGGGTACAGGTAAGTGAGTATGTAATTTATCACCTGTCTCATTAATCAAAAGGCATGAAGCCTTGAGGTAATGGTGTTTACAAAGTGCTTTCACACACATTATCACGTGTACCCCTCAGAACAGATGGGTAGGACTGAAAGTATCAGCTCTTGTTTTACAAACATGGAAAACAAGAACTTGAAGCTAGCCCTGCTAACTCTGGTAGGCCATGTGCTCTGACAGTAATGTAATGTTTTACATGATAAAATACCAAATATTAAAATACATTTGTGAAGAGTCTGGAAATTGTTTATTCATGTATATTCATGATTAACAGATTAAGCTCTATGAAAAAATGATTTCATTAATTTCTCATTTATCAAGCACTGTGTGTATAATGCAGATGGACTAGGTATATGTTCATGTGACTCCTCAGCATAATTTACCTGTGCCCAATTTCAAATTTGGCTAAGGGCCAAACATCATTTCTTTCGGTCTACCTGGAGTCAGTTTACATAACCCAGTGTATTTGTTTCCTCTTCCCACTAAAACCCCCGCCTCAAGTCAACAGGTCTCTAGGAGTATGTTAGCACAAGGTGTTGCCTCTCATTTTCTACCATCTGCCAATCTTCCAGTTACCCTTCCACTACTGGCTCCACTGTGGGCCACTGCTCACTTCCACACAGTACCTGACCTGCCCTGGAGCTCCCCAGCTGCAACTCCCCTCTTCCCCAGGAAACCACTCTGTCCACGCTGTCATCAGTGCAGGGTGACTGAGCCACAGCGTGCTTCCCTTTTCTGATCCATTCTTTTGGCTTCCGTGGCATCTTGTAAAGCAGGATGTAAAGTAGTCAAATGTTGACTTGTACTATTTAATATATTGATTTAGTTGTGCACATTTAAAAGAACCCAATAACACAAAACAACATGTTCATATGGAAAACTGAGTTTTCCTTGTGATCAAGACCATATTGGAGGGAGGGTTGAGACAACTAAAGGGAATTAGAGCAGAGGAAGGGAAGTTTCCAGTTTCCCCCCCACCCCAAGTACATGATACATGATTACATCCACAGGTCAAGGGAAAATTCTCTAAATCAAGGGAAAATTGTATCCATCCTGGGGATCCATCTCAGTGCCCTGCCTTGCTTCCTAGTGTCTATGCCTCTTGAGAGAGAAACTCCTTCTCCAGACCTCCACCCATGTCAAATGTCCACCTTCTCCCCGATACTCCTCAGAAGGAAATGCTACGCACTGTTCACTGTGTTTGTTCTTAACCCTGGGATCTGTCTATCTCGTTTTAACAAACATCCTGGTGTTCCATCTTCATGGAAGAACTTCATCAGAGCAGTGTTGGGTAGGGCTTGGATCCCAGGGCTGGCAGCCTTTGAGAGGTCCTCCTCAGCAGTTCTACTCTGTCATATGGGGTCATTATGAGTCAAATAGATTCAGTGGCACCAAACAACAGCAACCTCAGCATGAGGTAGATTTTCCAGACGATAATTTCAATGGGTAATCTTTCCTCTCTCTCTTTCACAAATACACAAACACACTTCTGTATACCTATATTACACCAGGGGACTTTAAAAAGTTGGTGGAAAAATTCCATTATCTTTCAATTCCATTTTTCCACAAACTTTTTGAAGCCCCCTTGTATACCTCTGTAAGACAAATAGTAAATTTTAGAGTCGAATTCCTTAGTTGTGAAGAAAGCATTTTCCTGAATGTATCATAATTGGTATGGATTCACAACACAAAAAACATATTATATGCTTTTGTAGAGCTTTGTTGAAGACCTGTCTGTTTATTTTCCGGCTTCTAGAAGTTTGCCCTAGGAAAACATAATCCTAAATGGAACTATTAGAGAATAACTATTAGAGAATCAGGTTCTCATTGATTGCCACATGAAGACCAGGCAAAAGTTTAAGAGTTACACCTCATCAGCACTATAGTCTAGTTCACATGTCTAAGTAGGCATCTCTAGGCTGTCTCTGTAGGTCTGAGGGAGGCCATATCATCTGTGAGGGTCTCCCTGCATTTTGAGACTCTGAGGGGTTTTGTTCAACTACATGTGTTTTGTCATTCACCTTTGCCTCTCCTCAACTTCAGGACACCAAGTATCCTATTTCATGTGTACAATTTCACATCTCATGTGTACAAAATCATGAAATAAATTCTATATTGTTTTTGTAACTATATTCTGCATTGTTGTCTGTAATGTTAAGGCTGTTGCTTTTTTTTCAGAGATGTGAACACTTGAAGTTTTTTTTTTTTCTTAAATGTTTTATTGTGAATTATGTAGTAGTTTACATGGGAGAAGGCTGTTGATTTTAAGAATGGTACATAGTGTTTTGTTTTTCACTTCTAACAGGAAGAATTGACTACAATTTTTTAAAATTTAATTCATCAAATCTATTTTCAATTTATTATTATGAATTTAGTTAAGTTTTTTCTCTAGTAAATAGAGAGTAGCATATCCTACCCCTTTTGAGGATGAAAGAATTAAGTCACTGGAATTGTGTCATGGTTCATCTGATACCAGGGTCCTTCATTACCACAGCTGTATGGGACCATCTTGTGTTTCTGGCTGATGTGTCCTGGAAAAAGATAGCTATGTCGTTGGCAGGTGTGAGATGGCCAAGAGGAGGGATGGGTGAATCGAGCCCTTTTTCCCCAGTGACCGTCATTCTGTGCTTTGGGGCTTGTAAATCCTCAACCCCATGCCACCCTGTGACTCACTGTTCTTTTTGGAAAGTCCCTGGCTTTGTTGTACTTTGTCTCTTGGATGTGGGACCTTGGAAGTTTTGGTAAGAGCATGTTTACTTGACTCTCAAATTAAGTGTTAGACATACTTGCAGAATAAATGTATTGCTTTCTCATTCTATCTTACAAAACAGAACATTCTGTATAAATGTTGTTTGCATTATTTCTGATTAACTTCCATATCACACATTCTAAATAGGAAGTAACATCCCTAGAAATAAGTTAACCTCTAACCCTACTGTGTAACTATGATAATATTGTACTTTAGGTAAATTTCCCCTTGGAAAACAGAGTTCCTGAAAGTGTGATTGCGTGCAATTTCTCTAAATTATTCTGTGCTTTCTAGTCCCTTCTATGGTATGTAACTAGTACAGTGAGGAACCACACCTTCTGAATATTTATGTAAGCAAGGTGATTGCTTTTGACTTTGATTATATCATTTTTACAGTTCCTGTACCCCCATGTTGAAAGTCACCCTCCTTCAGAGAACTATCTGTTACTGATTTCAGAGGAGAAATGTAAGTATATCTTGGGGTGGTCATGAAGGAAACATGGTCTCCTAATGAAGTGTGGGGCATGATTGAATCTTCTAGATGTCCTCTTGCCACTGCCTAGGACCCACTGATCTTTGGTATCCATTTCAAATCCAGGATTCCAATGCAAGAACTTTTCCTTCTTACCCCCACGTGTGCCTTTAGTCTTTTGCATCCTAGAACTCCTGGCCTTTTCAATTTTCGATTGTGCCACTTGGTAGAATGTTTGTAGAAGAGTCATGCAGGCCATTTCTCTTGTTTTTAGTTCCTCTTCTTTAGGATCTTTGTCAGGGTAGATAAAGATATATGGAGAGAAGATTGGATGGAGAGAAGAAGAAGCTTTTTAGTAGCGTGAAGAATTCTATGACAGAACTTGAAGACACATACTAACTTGGTCAAATTCAGGGAGAGGCAAATCAAATTGGGACATAAAAGGTTATGCTCTTCCAAAATGCTTTGAATTTTTTTTTGGGAAAAAACAAATTTCACTGCTGGATCTCTAGTGGACTGTCATTTATGTTTGTAGGTGAAATGGCTGGTTTATATTCTAGTTGAAAGGACAGACCTAAGAGTTTAGGATTGTGTTCAGTTCCTTACACTCTTGTCTAATTGTCTGCCTCACATTTTGTCAGTAGAAACAGCAGAAGACAATTGTGGCTTCATCTATATTGATTACTGGTAGAAAGGGACCATCTACAAACTGAAGTGTTTAGGGTTTTCATAGCATGAACTTGACCCCTTTAAAACCTTCTTGTATTGTTGATACTGACGTGGGAAGTAAATGTTGGCCTTGAAATAGGCTGTAAAGGGTGGGAGAGTGGAGACAGGTCATTTAAATTTAAAGTGTGAGATTGCTGTCTGATTATTCTGTCTAGCTGTAAGATCTACATTATTTTTATAAAAATTTGAAAACTCGTTTTTTTTTTTTTCATGTAGGTTAAATTACCTTTCTGCTGTTTTTATTTTTAAGATATTGAACAATATCATATCCAAGTCATCCAAGAAGATGGAAATAAAGTGGTGAGGAGTTATAATTCCTTTTGCTTGCTTTTCCACAAAGAGCTGTATTTCTAGACTAACATAGATAAAGGTTATTGATGCATAGCATTTTCTTTATTTGACATCTTTCAAATTATAGACATACTAGTTGCAATGTGTAACACAACACAAAGATAAATGAGGAAGTTAATTATCCCCTTTGTCTTTATGTTGTTGTGGTGGTTATGTGCCATGGAGTCAGTCCTGACTCATAGTGACCCTGTACAGGGTTTCCGAGGCTGCAAATCTTTACGGGAGAGGCTAGAAGAGCATGCATTTTTGTTGTTGTTAGGGGCCATCATGGCACTTTTGCATTCATAGTGACCCCATGTGACAGAAGAGAAAAGTCCTGTAGGATTTTCTAGGCTCTAATGTAGTGGTTTTCGAAACTACCAGCTGTTCCGCGGGAGAAAGATGAGGCATTCTACTCCCGTAAAGATTCACAGCCTCGGAAACCCTGTACAGGTCGCTATGAGTCGGAACTGACTCTTAGGCACATAACAACAACAACAACAAATGTAGTGGTTACGAATTGGGCTGCAAACTGCAAGGTCAGCAGTTGGAAACTACCAGCTGTTCTGTGGGAGAAAGATGAGACTGTCTGCTCCTGTAAAGATTTACAGCCTCAGAAACCCTGTACAGGGCCGCTATGAGTCGGAACCGACTCCACAGCACAAAACAACAACAACAACACAATCGTTTTAGGAGCATATTGCCAGGTCTTTCTTCTGTGGACCCACTGTAGGTCCTAACCACTATCCTTTTGGTTAGAAGCTGCTGCTTTGGCTGCTGTAACTGTCTTCTTAGAAGCTGGTGTGGCAGCTGCCTTCTTGCCAGGGGTGACAGCTGCTTTCTTGGCAGGTGTGGCAACTACCTCTTTTGTGGGGGAAACCACCATGTTTTTTGATGTCAGTGTGGTATTCTTCTTGCCTTTTTTCTGAGGAATGACAACCTCTTCTCCACTGCTTTCTTCTTCTTCATCTTCTGACAGTTTCTCGTCCTCACTGTCTTCTACCTTCTTGCGGGGAGGAACCAGCACTTTGATTTTTCCTGTCACCATGGTGGCGGCTGGGGATGGCGATGTATGAGGAGGACTAGTGGCGCAGATGAGACCGCGGGAATCCACAGGATGTTGATAGTGGCCGCGGTGCTGAAGAGGCTGGCGCGCACACACTTGGCTACCAGCTAGAGCTCTCATATATATAGCCTTTGAACAAGCATTCCAGCAATAGTATTGCATGCTAGAAACAATCTAGAATACAAAGGTGCTATTAGAGAGTTCATGCTGATGGGCTTGCATCAAAATGTAACTGTAGTGAAGGCATGCCAAAGAGCGAATGGAAACACAGATTTGGGGAATCTTGCTGTCTTCATGGGGAGGTGAGGAAGACTTGGGACAAAGTGAATGTCTAAGTCTGGTCTTGCAGGATAGGTAGTTAAGTAATGCTGAGAGATGAACAATGGCATTAGACTCGTTGTGGAAGGCTTCAAGCTAAGCAGCCTGCCCCAAACCACATTGATTGTTGATGGTACAACTACGGTCATTACCCAGTACTCCCATTTCTAGGCCTGAGGTTTTCCTTGGCACCTAAAGCTCTATCTATGGTAGTTCAAGCTCCCCACCTGAAGAGGCCTGCCTGAGTGGGGTATGTCAAGAACAGAAAATGCCAATCTCCTATTAATCAAGCTGTTAATTTGTGGTAGATGTGACCATGCCTTCAATAGCTCCAGCCTGTCTGTTAAATTAAGTACAACAGTAAAATAGCACATTATAGACTGTTTGGAAAGAATAAGTCATGAACTGTTGCCATAAAACTTTTCTGGAAAGACTGCCTGCGTGTGTATGTGTGTGTGTATTGAGAGGAGAGAGAAACTGATAAAACTCAACTATAGAGATGTTTACATGTACTGTAAACATTGAAAATGAAAAATATCTTCTATATTTTAACATAGTTATTTATGTTGTAAAAATATTTCATCTCCTTAGGTGATTAAAAATTCTGGCCATCTCCCAAGACACAGAGTAGCTGAGGATTTTGTTTGGGCTCAGTGGGATGTGTTAGAGCAGCGACTATACTACATTAACCTGAAGGTAACAACTAGTCTTCTAGCCCTCCTTTTCAGAGGAACAGTTATTGTTTTTGGCATTTCCATGACTGTATTTACTTATCACTCTATTTTCACTGGTTGATGCAAGTCAGCAAAGGGTTGTTAAAAATAATGGAAAGGTTTTCCGTACTGTTTGTTTTCTTTTTCTTAAAACTAGAGTTTTTGTTGATTTTTGTTAGTGAGTCATTTTATAAAATACTTTTCTCTTTTAGAAATCAGAGAGTATCTTAAAATGCATCCAGTTTAATGCTGATGAGAACTTTACACTGATGGTAAGTCCAGAGACTAATGGGCCTACAGGAAATGTTCTCCTATTAGAGAACTGTTATCATAAGAGCATTTTAGCATTCTTGATGTTGTGTTAATCACTTATTGTATGAGCAAGTAAAATAGTTCTTGCCATCTCAGAGCTTCAACTTCAGAGCAAATACAAGTAATGTCAGTGATTAGAAGAGCACACACAGGAAATGTATTCATGAACTGAATGTCTGGCATTACAGAAATGAATGCTAGAGTGGAATCAGTAGAGGGCAACAGGTGTGGTCTGTAGCAGATAGATTTATATGGTTACAAGTTATTTGACCCAAAAATTCTTGTGAAGATGTTGGATTTGAGAGTAAGATAAGAAGTCAATCTTCCAGGACAAGATGACAGAGTAGGCAGACGCAACAAAGACATGGGAGACCAAGTGAGACAAATACAGATGGTGATCCTGGAACCCGGAGCTTTAGATGATAGGGCAGAGAGGATTGAGTGTCGACTAGCAGAGGAAGCTAAATATTAACTATTTAAAATACTTACTGATAAAGATCAAAGACCACAGCCTACAGTATGGATTGCGCCTCAATGTAAAGAAAACAAAAATCCTCACCACTGGAGCAATAAATAACATCATGATAAATGGAGAAAAGATTGACGTTATCAAAGACTTCATTTTGCTCTGATCAACCATCATTACTCATGGGAGCAATAGTCAAGAAATCAAACGCCATATTGCATTAGGCAAATCTACTGCACAAAACCCATTGTAAGTGTTCAAGAGCAAAGATGTCAGTTTGAAGACTAAAGCACATCTGTCCAAAGCCATGGTATTTTGAATAGCCTCATAGGCATGTGAACGTTGGACAGTGAATAAGGAAGACATAGAAGAATTGATACATTTGAGATACGGCATTTGGAGAAGCTATTAAAAGTACCAGTGACTGCTTGAAGAACAAACAAATCTGTGTTGGAAGAAGTACAACCAGAATGTGCCTTGGAAGCCAGGATGGCGAGACCAGCTCCTGGAGAGAGATATCATGCTAGGTAAAGTGGAAGGTCAGCACAAAAAGAGGAAGACACCCAATGAGATAGATTGGTTTAATGGCAACAGCAATGAGCTCAAGCTTAACGAATGTAAAGATGGCGCAGGGCCAGGGAGTGTTCGTTCTTTTATGCGTGAGGTCTCTATGAGTTGGGACTGACTCAATGGCATCTAATAACACAATAAGTGTAACCCTAAAACTGGACTAAACCTTCCTCCTAGCCCTAGCCCAACTCCTACCCCCAACACTAATTCTAGTCATAACCATAGCATTAACACTAAATGAAGTCTTAGGTCTAGCCATAGTCCTACTTCTAACTCCTTACTCCTACTCCCCACCCTCCCCCCTAAAAGGCTATAAAAAAAAGATAAGAAATCAGTGAGAGAGTATGGTTTAAATCAATAGCGGGGATCCCTTTATCTGCCAAAATTTATAATATCATTCATGGGCCAACAAAATTATTAACTTAAAAATCAGCCACTCCTCGGAAACCCTATATAGGGTTGCTATAAGTTGGAACCAACTCGATGACACTTAACAACAACAACAATGTGATGGCTGGAATTATGTTGCCTTGGCAGGGATAGACCAAATGATTTCACGGGCCTTATATGGCCCAATGGACTTTTGGTGTGGTGCTGTAGGATCAGCACTGGCCTGTAAACCATGAGGTCGGCAGTTCAAACCCACCAGCCGCTCCTTGGAAACCCTATACAGGGTTGCTATAAGTCAGAATTGACTCAGTGACATTTAACAACAATAACAAGTGAAGAACAGTATGTTATTAGTTTTCTTGACCAGGACTAATATTGAACTAAGAGTTCAGAGTGATATCAAGCAGTCACAAGAAGGATTTATATTTCTCTCTCTCTTTTTGTGTTCATTTACAAAAAGCCCCCTCTTCTAAAAATGCCAGGCTCTTCGTCCCTTACAAGGTCCTTTGTGTCTTGTAAAAGATGACCACTTCCAATTGACCTGTTATACTATGTGTTTATGATATTCAAAGTTTGCCAAGTATTAGCCTTTTAAGAAATAAATACGAGTTTGTAGAAAATTCCATTATCTTTTACTTCCATTTTTCCACGAACTTTTTGAAGCCCCTTGTATACATCAGATTGTATGTAAACTAACATATCCTCTGTTGAGACTCTTTGGGTGGAGGATAATGATAGTTCAGTGGGTTATAAATCAGCATAGCTTTATCAAGTTTACTCTGGTTTTCAAGATTATCATCACTTAATGTCATTTATTTTTGGTTTGTTTTCTCCTGATTTTTGACAGTTTGAAGCACCCTTGGACATATCATTAAACAACTCAGGATTTAAGTAAGTGACTCACAGAGTGGGATTAACTGTTACGGACACTCAGGTGGGCAAAATGATTAGATTTATAAATAACCCATGGTGTGCAGATGAAAGGTTGACTTGAAATTCTCTTTGTGTGTATCTTTTATATTTCTATTCTCGATAGGGAATAGAAATATTCTTTATTAAGTATGAACACAGGCTTTTACATGTAAAAAGTAGTCAGTTTTATTGATTTTTCTAAGTCATGTATTTCTATACAGAATCTCTATTCATTTTGATCCACGCAACTGCTCTTCTCCCAATTATTAAACAAAAGGATTTGATGAGTCAGAGTCTAAAAACCAAACATCTAAACCCTTTCCTGTTGCTGTCAACCACAATTTGTTACATATTTCACTAGTTTCATTTCATCCTGTATGAACATTTAGTTTATGCTTTTTGAAACACATGTATAATTCAGCAAAAAGTTCTAAAAACATAATTAAAAAATAAATTTATAAAATTTTATAAAAATAAAACAATCGTTTTCTTTCTACTGTCAGTGCCTTTGCCATTTACATACATGTATTTTAAAAAAATAAATGTTCTGGACTGTTTTACAGAATTTCTTTACAGAAAACAAAAGCATTTATTTTCTCAGATTTCTCAGGGATATGTCTCTACTTCTGCATCTATATTACACTTACATTTTTTTATTAGAGAATGTGCTTTTAAAATGTACCCAACAATTTTTTATCTTTTATGTTCCTAGGCTTGTCAACTTTGGATGTGATTATCTTCAAGACCAAGAGAAATTATCCAAACACCCAACTTTGTGTGTTTTTACCAATAATGCAGGTAGAACAGTAATCATCAGTATACTCAATTATACTTGAGTTCTATACAGATCTTAGTCATTGCTTTGAAAATGAAGTGTAGTAGAGTTATATTCTTACATAAGTCTTACAGACTTTCATTTGTCAAATTATCTTCTCCACAATAATACTATACATCTACTAGCTATATAAGGAGCTCTGGTAGCGTAGTGGTTATGAATTGGGCTGTGAACCTTAAGGTCAGCAGTTCGAAACTACCAGCTGTTCTGCGGGAGAAAGATGCGGCTTTCTGCTCCCGTGAAGATTTACAGCCTTGGAAACCCTGTACAGGGTCACTATGAGTCAAAACTGACTCCACGGCACATCATCACCACCACCACCAACCTCAAGGTTCAAATCAACCAGTACTTTAACTAGTAGTTTTTAGCTGGTAATAAGTTTATTAAAAGTAGTCCAAGTGGTAACTTGTTGTTAAGTGCCATTGAGTCGGTTCCAATTAGCAGCAAACCTGTGTAGGGTTTCCAAGGAGCAGCTGCTGGGTTTGAACTACCAACGTTGTGGTTAGCAGTTCTGTGCTGATTCACCACACCAGGACTACTTTTGTTTTTGATTTAATAAGGGCACCACTTTTATTTTCAGTAGCATTCCTGTAAATTAAAAAAAATGTATATATTATATGTTCAGTAACCATAACAATAATTTTACACTTAACAGGATTTTAAAAAAATGTTTTATTGTAAATTATGTGATAGTTTACATGTTTACATGAGAGAACTTTAGTTTTACATTCATTCCATCCTATATCATTTCATTGCCATGGTTCCAATCCCCTTCATGTATCATCAACCGATCAAAGGGTATATCCTAGAAACCTGTCCCCTCCCCCCCACTTCCACCCCCAAGGCTTCGGCCCACAGGCCCTCTCCCTCTCTGGATTCAAAGTCCCCATCTGCTTCATCACTCCACGTCATCATCTCTGTCTCCATCTCAGGGATCTCTGGTTCTCTGGGTAGGGTCCTGCTCTCAGCTCTTCTCCGTTGATGGTCCTAGAGACCTCCGCTCCTAGACTGGAGAAATAATCGCTCCCTTCCTTGCTATAAAACGTCTACCTTTGCACTTCCAACCCTCATAATCAGTCCTGATAACCATTATTCACTACAGTATCACGAGTTACCCATCTGTATTTCATTTCATTAGCTCCACCTAGACAGATTGGATAGTACTCACTGGAGATTCTGCCTTCCTCCATGCCCCCAAGCTCTAGGTTCCCTGTTGAAAGCTTGTAAGCCAGTCACTTCTTGCCTTTGTAGAACAGGATTGTTTTTATGTCTGATAAAATAATTCTTTTTTATAGTTTTATATTTTCAAGATTTTATGATAAAATGTACCTTTAACAATACATTACAGTTTTAAATGTCATTAAAATGATCACACATGATAAATATAACAGCATACTTATATAACAGACTCCTTAGGGAAACATTTCTTTTTTTAAACCATGATTTTTCAATAAAATAAGTGATATTATAAAGGAGGAAACATTGAGACCATGGAAGTAGAGCAATAATTGAATTCACACACTTAGTTATTATTAACTCTGGTATTAGAAACCTGGTTTCCAGACATTGACATTTTGTCAAATTCCTCTCTACCTTTGGAATCTTTTAGTTCAGCCAGTAACATAAATACTAGCATTAGAATATAAGTATGGGTTCAAAGAAGATGTCCTCACTGTGGCACCATCTTCTAAAAATAATGTGTAGTTTTACACACTGAAGGAGGTAGGAAGGCTGCAGCGATGAGCTAAGCAGGTAAGCGAAGATGGCCAGGGCTCATTTGGAAACTTATGCTTGGAGCAGTCCTTTGACTTTTGGCCAAGATCCTCAGCAACCTGAATGTGGGTGGACATTGCCTCACACATGATGTTTGCTCTTATTGCAACATACATTAGATCACATTAGCCTCTAAATCCAGATAAACAAGATTGGAAACTTTTGTGAAATCAATAACATGTTTTAATACCCCAGAGTCCATAACTATTGGTAATAACTAGAAGACAAGCTAGGTTAGAGGGCATGGTGGTACATCTGTTAGGAGAATCTCATGAAGCTTTGGACACTTCTCTAGATTTCCAGGTCTTATATTATTTCCCATCCTTCAATAGGGCACCATAGTCCAGTGCAGATAGTGTGTGCTGAACAGTTGTTGAATTGAAATTTCTTAGCAACTTGTTGATAGACCATATCTAAATTTTGGGAATAGATTTATGAGGTCAGATCAGGGGGTCTTATAAAGAAATAGAAGTCAGGTTAAATGCATTAGGAAACTTTTTTTTTTTTTTTTTTTTAAACTCTACTAAATATTTCTTTCCTTCCAGGAAGCTTGTGTGTATGCTATAGTCCGAAGTTTGACACTGGGGATCAAATCACATACTCAGTGTTTTACTTTCATAAAGGTACTTTTCTTTGCTCTTATTTCTTGCTTACTTTCGCAAAATCAAGTTTTTGAATTAGTAGCAAATTAGCAGCTAGATTTAAAAATCTTGTTTCCTTGCAACTGATTTTATCAGTCCATTCTATGCCTTCCACTAATCGAGATGAGTATAGATGTTTTGATGATGAAAATTTGCTAAAGAAATTCAGCAAATGGTGAATATTAACTGAGCTTAAAGTATTTTATGTACTGTATTTTTTGATCCAGGTCTACTTCTTTTTCTTGGCCTATGGATATATTTGCACACTGTGTTTGCTTTTTTCTTTATTATTATTATTATTACTAATTGAAATATCTCTATAGATTTAATTTACAAAATCTCATAGGATTTTAACTGAAAGTATCCATTATCTCAGTATCTATTGACACATATGTGGCCTGAGAAATTAATGTGCCAGGCTGAGGAACAAGAAAAACAATGGCCAGTGTTTTCTAGATCTGTGATCAGCTACAGCTTGCCGCTTAGTTATTTTTTTGTCTGTACCAGAGCTAAAGAATTTTGTCTGTTTAGTTCCTTGAAATTAGTATTTGGATGGTACATACTATGGATGGAGTTAAATTTTTTAAAAGATAGATTTTGGTCAATACACCTATTCCTCCCTTGTCAACTATCTTGTTATCTGTCATTTTTTCATTTACAATAATAAGAAACAATCTATCTGACTATTTTGCACATTAACAACATATGTCTGGGAGTAATGAATGCCGAGGTGTGAGACCAGATAACATTGGCTGTGATGGTTAAGGTTGTGTGTCAAATTGATTGGGCCATGTAATTTGGTTGTTATGGAATGACATAATGAGGGCATCAAATCAGTTCATTCTGGTTTGACCTTCTGGTGAGAATTCACTTTTATAACCCCTGATATGGAGTTCTGGTGTGGTGTTATAGGATAAAGCACTGGACTGCAAGATTGATTTGAACTGAAAAGGTTGGCAGTTCACACTCACTGGTCACTCCTAGGAAACCCTGTACAGGGTCTCTATGAACTGATTTGATGGCACTTAACAGTAACAACAACAACCTAGTTATACTGAATTGGGATTTACATTTTAACAAGAATCTATAAGGATTGCTTGGAGATTTTGTTAAAATTAGATCCTGGTTCAGTATGTCTGGGGTGGAGGAGCAAATTCTCAAGAGGGAGTCAAACTGGAACAAACTGGTTGGAGGCTCTGGGTGTAATTGGCAGTCATGTATTTTGTGATCTGTTGTGGTCACCTTCCGTTGCACCTTAACAGCACTTTTTGCATAACTACCTGGCTCTGGTAGCGTAGTGGTTACGAATCGGGCTGCGAACCTTAAGGTCAGCGGTTCGAAACTACCAGCTGCACCGCGGGAGAAAGATGAGGCTTTCTACTCCCATAAAGATTTACACCCTCGGAAACCCTATACAGGGTCGCTATGGGTCGGAACCGACTCGATGGCACATAACAACAACAACCTGGCCTTTAAAGGAGCTCTGGTAGTGTAGTGGTTACGAGGGCTGCTAATCTCATGGTCAGCAGTTCAAAACTACCAGTGGTTCTGGGGGCTAAAGATGAGGCTTTCTGCTCCCTAAAGATTTACAGCCTCAGAAACCCTAAACAGGGTCTTTATGAGTCAGAACCAACTCCATGGCACATAACCACCACCACCTGGTCTTTGGATCCTAACCATGTCGATAAGTGAGGAGTAGGTGTACTTAAAAAATTGTGTGCCAGCTAACACCAGAGTTTGTTATTCTACAGGAGTCTCTAGTATAACCTTCAGAGGTTAGAGGTCTAGGTAAAAAAGTTTTTAAAACTTTCTCAATCATGGGGAAACCAAAAGTAATTTCAACACTGGATATATAAACAACCTTAATAGTTTAAGTTTGAAGTTTTATGAAAAGTTTTCACAATTTATTCTAATGATTAAAATGAATAAATAAGACTTTTCTGATGATTAACAGTTGGAAAAGTAGGGTGTGAAGTCCAATAGGCTTAGCTTAGTAGTTAGCTCATACTTCAGTTACTTTCTAACTAAAAATGGGATTTGTGAGTGACTTGGAGAAGTCTCAGAGGGTCTTAGTGACAAGTACAAATTAGCTCTGAGACATGAGGGCTGATGAGCCAGCTGGTCTCCATTTCTTAGTTCCCTAAGTACGTTTCTTCAGATCCTGCCTCTCCTGTACAACCCAAATCTTAAGATTATAAATGAGCTCAGAACAACTAGTGGGTTGTGACCACACCGGATGATCAACCCTTAATGGAGAATGATGGGGAGCCATGAAATCTAGAAGTTGGAAGATGTTTGCTTTATCCGTTTCATAGTTACAAAGTGTTGGGAGTGTTACAGAGTTACTGCCTTGTGGAAGAACTACCACTGTTTGATTCTTAATGTCCTTCCTCTCATATCCTGTACTCTTTCTGCAGGGTACAAGAAAACCTTCACCACTGCTCTTGGGAGTGCTGACTCACATGTGACAAATGACATTACTTTTCTTAATCTTGGTAGGTAACAGATCTGTAACTCTTTACTCTGCCTTTGCCTTCTAATACAAGCTTGCCTTAGGCATCTATATGTCATTTCTTCTCTGTGCCTCCCCCCCCCCCCCATTTTCTCATGCCTCTTTGGGACTGGGATTGTGATGACAATCAGTGACCTTTTTGAAGCGTGATGGGAGCTGGTTTGCTCTGGAAGGAAGTCCTCAGTCCTTTAAAAGGATCCATCTACCATTTTTGGAGAACCCAGGGAACTTAGAGAAGCTAAACTGTATTACTTTCCTGGTGTGACACTGTAGGATAATAAGCACTGGACCTCAAGGTTTGTTTGAACTACAAGGTTAGCGGTTCAAACCTATTAGCCTCTACTCAGAAACCCTATACAGGATCATTATGAGCCATTACCAATCCCATGGTACTTAACAACAATTCCTACCATAATAAATTGACAAAAATTTAGGGTTTAAAACAGCACAAATATATTATAGTTCTGGAGGTACACTTTCTCATGTTTTTGGTTGTTGTTGTTAAGTGCTGTTGTGTCTGGTTCAACTCATAATGACCCTGTATAGGAGTGGCTGGTGAGTTTGAACTGCCAACCTTGCAATTCATACTGACCTTGTGGTCTAGTGCTTATCCTACAGTGCCATACAAGTAGTCCTAAAAAGCCATTTGTTAGTATAAAAATGAGGCCAGTGATGAGATGTTCCCTAATAGTAATAGGAAATAATACATTATGTTGTCCCTTGATTTTAGAATGGACAAGGGTCTTTGGGAATTGTCTAGTCCTTGTTGCTAATTACTAAAAGCTTCCAAGCCCACAAATGACACGTGGATAGGTTGAATAAATATGGTGAAGGGAACCTGCACATAGAAAGGGAGTCTGTAAAGAAGAAAATAAAGATGGGATTTATTGGGATCTTTGTCTTACTACAAGATTCTTTTCCATGTTGGTGTATGGGGCATAAACAGTTTGGCATGCAACTGAGTAACAGAACTATTACTTGCTACATATGGAATATGACACAACACTTAAAGAAGGAAAACTTGATGAGCATATGATTCTGGGACAGCTTCCTGCATCTTTTGTCTCCAGCCCATTTTCTATCATGACAAAGGTTTAAGAGGGTGCATTGTAAGGAAAGTGGGAAAAGTAAGAACTCAAACTGATAGACGAGTCTGTAGGAAGGTTTTTATTTTCAGTGATACTATTGATGACATCAGGGGCCCTGGCGGTGCTGTGGGTAAGTGATCAGCTGCTGAGAGGTCAGTGGTTTGAACCCACCAGCCAGTCTGCAGGGTAAAGATGTGGCAGTCTGCTGCCATAAACATTACAACCTTGGAAACCCGATGTGGCAGTTCTCTGTCCTGTGAGTTGGCATTGACTTGATGGCAATACATGGATGGATTAATGAGGCTGACATTTTCTGCTAAGTGGGCCAGTATGTGGCAACTTTTATCCTGATCTCTGAACCTGTGGGAAATTGCTTTAGAGAATCCTGGTTCTGCTGGTGAAAAGAGAGAGAAATGTAAAGTTGTCTGGGACTGGAACTTGATTCTTAACACAATGTTATATCAGCATCCCATCACAAGGGTGATGTGGGAAATTTTCCACTAAAAAACCCCCAAAAATCCCTCAGCATTTTATGAGGACAAAATTCTACTTCCTTTTCTTAACCCCATGGGAATGTACTCTTTTATTTTTAACTTTTTATTGTGCATTGGGTGATAGTTTACAGAGCAGATTAATTTTCCATTGAGCAGTTCATTCATATTTTATTTCATGGCAATGACTGTAATCAAGAATGCACTCTTTAAAGAACTGACTGTGGTCTTTAGGGTACAGGGAGATTTGTAAAAATAGGCCAGTTTAAACAAGTTACCTTTTCTTCTTAAGCACATTTTATATTACAGGCAAAAAAATTGTACCCAAGATTAAAACTTTTAGAAGTAATTCTTATGACAACAATATTATTTTTTGAATAATGTTTTTCTTGCTATGAATTAAGTACAGTTTCCCTGAATTGCCACCTGTGTAAATGGGGCTTATATTGTTTGAAAATTTTAAAGAATAGAGTTTTTGAAAATTTTCCATGAATTTAAAATACCTCTGTTAAAGAAAGATATGTTTGTAAATTTAAAAAACTACCATTTGTTGAATGTGTACTATATGCTATATATTTTACTTGTTATCTTGATCCTTGTAACAATTCTGCTTGGTGACATTCCAATTTTACCGATAATGAAACAGAGGTTCAGAAAGGGGAAGGAGTATGCATTAGCTTCTTTTAACAGGGACACTCTATTAGTTTCCTATTGCTTCTGTAAGAAATTGCTACAAAGTTAGAATTTAAAAGGACACAATCACATTCTCCTGTAGTTCTGGAGTTAAAAAGTCTGATATGAATCTTGAGGGGCTAAAATCAAGACATGGTCTCCTTCCAGAGGCTCTAGGGAAGAATTCGTTCCTTATCTCCTCCAGAATTCAGAGGCTGGTTTTCCTTAGCCTTTGGCACTCCCTCTTTAATCTTCCATCCTCATAGGGCTGGCTTTCTCTTCCATACTCATATCTTCCTCTGACTCCTTCTTAAAAGGCATTTGTGCACAAGAACATCCACACTTGCAGATAATACCCACTTGACCTGGCTCCAGTGACTGCATGATCAGAGCTCAACTAGAAAAAAAAAGAAGAGGAAAAAAAGAGTAATCTGATACAATTTGATGAACTTGACCTATACCCATGGGTGCAATAGCTCAAAAGAGGGTACAAATCTTTACAGCAAGGATCATTCCCATCCCCTCCATACACAGAGTAGACAGGGATGGGCTACTTGGACATTGACTACCCAAAGTGGGGGGGCTACAAAGGTAAGAAGTGACTGGCTTACAAGCTTTCAAGAGGGAACCTAGATCCAGAGGGTGTGAAGGTAGAATCTCCACTGAGTAGTATCCAATCTGTCTGGGCGTGGCTGACGAAAGGAAATGTGGATAGGTCTCTTGTGATTAATTAATCGTGAATAATTGTTGTCAGGACTGATTTTGGGGTTTGGAAATGTAAAGGTAGATGTTTTGTAGCAAGGAGGGGAGTGATTAACTTTTCAGTTCAGGAGCAGAGGTCCCTGGGACCATGAAGAGAGAAGAGCAGAGAGCGGGACCCTACCCAGAGAAACAGTGATGCCTGAGATGGAGGCAGAGAAGATGACTTGGAGAGATGGGGCAATTGGGGACTTTAGACCCAGAGAGGGAGAAGGGCTGTGTGCTGACGATTTGGGGGCAGGCTTGTAGTGTTTAGTTATTTGATGATGCATGGAGGGGATTGTAACCATGGCAATGAAACAATATACGATAGGATGAATGTAAAACTAATGTTCTCCCATGTAAACTATCACATAATTCACAATAAAACATTAAAAAAAAAAAAAAAAGGACATTTGTGATTACATTGGCTCCACTTGCATAATTCAGGATACTCTCCCCATTTGAAGAGGCTTCATTTCATCATACCTGCAGGTTCCCTCTTACCATAAATTAATGTATTTTGGGATTCCAAGGATTAGGATATAGACATTTTTTAGGGGTCATTAATAAACGTGGTAGCTCTGTAGAATAAACACTGGATGTGAACCACAAGGTTGAAGGTTTGGGGCCACCAACTGCTCCGAGGGAGAAAGATGATTTTTTTTGCTCCCGGAAAGATTTACAGCCTCGGAAACCCTATTCAGGGTTACTGGGAGTTGGAACGGACTCGATGGCACTTAACAATGACATTAGTAAGCCTAGAGGGCCCTAGTTACGCATTGGTTAAAGTGCTCAGCTGCTAACTGCAAGGTTGACAGTTTGAATCCACCTGCCGCTCCATGGGAGAAAGATGTGGCAGGCTGCTTCTGTAAAGATTTACAGCCTTGGGAACTCTATGGGGTAGCTCTGCTTTGTCTTACAGAGCCACTCTGAGCCCAAGTCAATTTGATGGCAATGAGCTAGGTTTTTTGTTTTATTAATATCAAACTTGCCAAAGGCATTATTGACATTTTTGGTGAGACTGAAATTCGTTGTGTGAGATTGTTTTATACCCTGGGGAATTTAACATATCTGGAGTCCACCTCACCAAGTGCCAGGAGATCCTCCACTTCCCAATCCAATGATTGTGATCATCTTAAACATTCTTGACTGTTTCCAAATGCGGCTCCCCATAGTACCACCCTAGTTAATTGGTTCAGTGGTAAGACTGGGAATTAACCTATGTCCTTTCATTCTGAACCTCTTTCCACTATGACATATGACATCATTATTTTTGCTTTTTCACGTTAGTGTTAGCATAAAAACAAGATTATTGCAACCATTTGTCTAAGCACTTTGTTCTTGTTGTTATGTGCAGTGGAGTCGGTTCCAACTCATAGTGACCCTGTACAGGGTTTCCCAGGCTGTAAATCTTTACAGGAGTAGAAAGCGTCATCTTTCTCCCATGGAACAGCTGGTAGTTTCAAACTGCTGACCTTGAGGTTCACAGCCCGATTCGTAACCACTATGCTACCACTTTAACATCACTTAAATCTATAATAACTGAACAGACTAATATTATAAGTCAACTGCTTAGAGTTTTACATTCTCTTGCTTGTCCTCTCCACAGAATTACTTCTGTGCAAATGCTTGTTTCTTTGCATCTGGTAAAAGCTGGCTCGCTTATAATCGAAATGTTTCATTTATATAAAACTAATGATTACTGTGCGGTTTTCTCTGCTTTTCTAAGGTCCTAGAAAAATTACTGGCAAGGGCTACTTCCATCTTCCCAGCCTGTAGGAGCTTATTTTTATATCTTGTCTCAGTATGGTTACAAATGTCCTTGTGGGGATAAAAAATATCTGGTGCAGGGATGTGAAGGTGTGAATTCTAGGCAGCTAGCTATGCAAGGAAATAAATTCACACTTCAGAAAGTGTCAGAATGCCTGAGAATTGTTTTGATGAATGTCGATTAAAAGGCTCCCTAACAAAATGATGATGCAATGATTTAATTAACATGGAGAACTAAATGTTATACTTCTCACAGACTGGCAGAAATTATGAAGAACATTCCCATTATAAGCTATTTCCAGTCTGTCAAATTAAGGAGTAACTCATGTTGCTTAATATTTTTTATTTTAGTTTGCTCTCAGAGATGTTTTAGATTTATATAAACCCACAATTCACTGAGTAACTAAATTATGGGTATAAACCAGGATAATAATAGTTAAGTGCAAAAGAATTAGCCACAGATAGAAAGAAACAGAGTCCTGGTGTGGCACTATAGGATAAGCATGGGAGTGCTAACAGTGCTAACTGCAAGGTTGGCAGTTAATATCTACCAGCTGCTCTCAGAAACCCTATACAGGGTTGCTATGAGTCAGAACCGACTCCAAAGCATACAACAGCAACAGCAGAAAGATGTAAGATCTGGCTTGTAAGAAGTTAAAACAAAACCAGAAGATGTTAGTTGGGTTGTGAAACGTACTGATGAAAGACAGCTTGTTATTACATGTTTTTGAACCTCTCAAAACCTTTATGTTTTGAGAGGTACAAAGACAACAGATATAATGTGAACTTCTATGGTTTATCAGTACCTAAACAGGTCTTCCTATATGTATATGACTTGCATCTTTTTCTTCTGCAGACTATTATGTGGCTGTGTACTTACCTGGGCATTTCTTTCATCTACTTAACATTCAACATCCAGACTTGATTTGCCACAGTCTGTTTTTGACAGGTATGGCTGTGGTTTCTTTTTTCTTACAGACATGAGCTACGAGTGTTTGGGTTTGTTTTTTAATATGTACATTTAGATGAAGTGGAGTTTTGTTTGCTTGTTTTATTTATTTGCTGATCTCCTTTTTTCCTTTCCGGCCAGGAAAAAGTGACATGATTGAAAGGCTACCTCACAATCCTCTGCAGTCACTAGCAGGGTCTCTGGTCCTGGATTGGAACTCTGGGAAGCTCTGTCGAGCACAGCTCCACCGGTCACATTTGTTATTGTTCCTGTGGAATACGCCCCTAGACTGGGAGAAGATAGCTGCGTTGCACTGTGTGCTCTCCTGCGGCAGAGGTTCACAGCTCCAGGAAGACCAGGTGGGAATACTCGGCTAGCGTCAGTCGAAACACTGGCAAATAGACAGCACCAAGTGTATCCATTTAGTGGTTGAAAAAGAACCAAAACTCCAAACCAACTGCCATCAAGTTAACTCAGATTCATAGCCACTCCAGAGGACAAAGTAGAACTGCCACATGGGGTTTTCAAGGCTGTCATCTGTACTGAAGCAAACGGTTACGTTTCTCCTGCAGGGTGACTGATGGGTTTGAACTGCTTACCTTTCAGTTAGTAGCTGTGCACTTAACTGCTGCACCACCAAGACTTCTTGGAAAATAACAGAACTTATTTTTATTTGGTAATAATTGTGGTTTATGGTCTCTGTCCTAACCCAAACACATTCTTTCCTTTTCTTTCTTTTTTTTTTTTTTTTGTAGCTCCCTACCAAACAAGTGAACTTTAGGGGCAAGTTTGTTCTTTTGAGTGCTCTTTTCTGTACTGTGAATAAATATTTAGCCACATCAGTAAAATTCCAAAGAGGTGCTCAGTACATAATGAGTTTCTCAAATATACTACTTTTCCTCTTCTTCTACAGTCAGCATCTATCATAAAAAAAACCTAAAATGTGGTGGCAGACTTTATCCGTACTAATATAAATAGCTTACGTTTGAATTACATATAAGAGCTTACTAAGTATTTCAGATATTCATCGACATTTGATTTTTACGTAAAGAAACACTCTTATCTGACTAGATTGTGACTATTGGGTGGCTAATTAACTTAAAAATTCGTCTCTGATACTTCAGACCTATTGTCAGGAGGGACCAGTCGCTGGAGGATATCATGTTTGGTAGGGTGAAGGGTCAAAGAAAAAGAGGAAGACCCCCAACAAAATGGATTGGCCAAGTGGAAGAATCAATGGACTCAAGCATGGCAACAGTAGTGAGGTTGGCCCAGGATCGGGCAGTGTTTCGTTCTGCTGTGCATAGGGTGGCTATGAGTTGGTACTGACTCCACTCGATGGCACCTTAACAACAACAACAACAATTAACTTAAAAAAAACACTTAAGCATTTTATTTACACTTAAATCATATAAACATATATTTATTCATTCATCTTTTGTGAAAATAAGGTCTCTGAGTGCTGTATTTCAACTTTTAGGATTCAAAATTCTGTTCTTTTTTTTGCATAAAACTACTGGTAATGTGTTAACTTTTACTTCCTATTGCTATCTTTATTTCCACTTTTAAGATGAACAATTATTTAAAGTCTCTTCCAAAGCAGTCTGTATGTAGGGATCTTTCTAGACTCTGACACTTACCCCCAATCTTTTTTAGTCGCCTCACCTACACCTTCATTTTTACTGTCTTTTTTAGAGACATGCCTTCATTAAGTCTTTCCAAAGCTATTCAATTTATCCTTGAATGACCCCTAAGTAGACTTTTTGCATCTGTGTTTTATTTATTTATAGTAACATTTTATCAAATGACCGAATTATGAAAATAAACACAACTAGTATACACACATTTGGGAATAGAAACAGCTTATGGGTAGGAACAGAAATGTGAATGTCTAGGTCTGTGTACCTGTGTCAGGGAATGAGGCACTTCATTCTTCCATCAGGATGGATTTATATTGCTGTTAAGCGCTGTGGAGTCAGTTCTGACTCATAGAGACCTTGTATAGGGTTTCTGAGGAGTGGTTGTGGAAACCCTATACAGGGTCATTATAGGTCAGAACTGACTCAATGGCACTTAACAACAACAACAATACCATACAGTTCTTATTGGTACATTGCTATAGCATATCTTGGTGTCCTGAATGACATCATAAGATAAGCACTTGACGGTTAACACCAAGGTCAGCAGTCCAAACCCATCAGCTGCTCCTTGGAAACCCTCCCTACACAGGGTCACTATGAGTCGGAAATGACTTGACAGCATTTAACAAAATAGCACGTCTTAGGAGCTCTAGTAGTATAGTGGTTACGAATCAGGCTATGAGCCTCAAGGTCAGTAGTTCGAAGCTACCAGCTGTCCTGTGGGAGAAAGATGAGGCTTTCTGCTCCCATAAAGATTTACAGGCTTGGAAACCCTGTACAGGGCCGTTATCGGGCCACGGCACATAACCACCAACCACTGTAACAAACAAGCAAACAGTTGGAAAAGATTTATTTGGATCCACACCTTTTTAATGCGTAAAAAGGACCTCATTATAATACTGCTTTACCCTTAGAGCCTTGCCTTATGTGTATCTTGCAAACAACATAAAACTGTGTGTATTCTTAAATCGTTTCAAAATAGATATAGAATTAGAAAGACTCATGTATTTGTACTTGTTTGGTGGTGAGGATGGTGTGGAAATCTAAATACTGACAGAGTTATGTCTTATTTTTTTAAAGCTTATTCTGTGGATTTCTGAGAACATCTCTGCCTGCCATTCATTTGACCTTCTGCAGGAATTTCTAATTGGTAGGTGTTGCTGACATTGCATGTGAAGCGGAATACTTGACCCTTTTGCTTGAGGGAAAGTGATAAATTGATAATGCCTCAATCTGTCAGGATACTGCTTAGCAGCAGCTTTTTTTTTTTTTTTTTCTTTAACTCCACTGCAGTTAACAGCTAATTAAATTTCATTCTCTTGTGGTTTTGTGAGAAGCAGTGGCTGTTCAGACACTGATGAGATATAAGTTAGGATCCTGATTCCGTAATCTTCTTAATGAGGTTTTTTTCCCAGTAAGATGTATCTTTATCAGCCCAGTTTTCTGATGGCTGATTCTATATGAACTAGAGTACAGCTATCCTCCGCTCTTTGAACGTTTGTTTTATGCCACTTGGATTTTAAGAAAGATCCACATTAGTATCTGTTTTTGTTAACCAAAAGAAATCTGAAGAGGAATTTTTTGCTTTTATGAAAAAAGGTGAAAAATGAAACTAACAAATAGCATTTGATTTGCAGTGCTCACCCTGAGCAAGTTCTTTCCCCAAAGCTGTACTACCTACTATGGTAGCATAGTGGTTACGAAACAGGCTGCTACCCTCAAGGTCAGCTGTTCGAAACTACCAGCCGTTCCGCGGGAGAAGGACTAGCCTTTCTGCTCCCCTAAAGATTTACAGACTCGGAAACCCTGTACAGGGTCGCTATGAGTTGGAACCAACTCCACGGTACTTAACAACAACAGTAGCCTGTATATCATATCATTCCTGCTTTATATAGCTACTACTATTTTTATTTATACTTTATATAGCCTGTGGTGGTGGTTATGTGCCGTGGAGTCGGAACGACTCATAGTGACCCTGCACAGGGTTTCTGAGGCTGTAAATCTTTATGGGAGCAGAAAGCCTCATCTTTCTCCCATGGAACAGCTGGTAATTTTGAACTGCTAACCTTGAGGGTAGCAGCCCGATTTGTAACCACTACGCTACCAGAGCACCTTATGTAGACTGTATGTTGTTGTTGTTGTTGTTAAGTGCCATCGAGTCGGGTCCGACCCATAGCGACCCTGTACAGGGTTTCCGAGGGTGTAAATCTTTACGGGAGTAGAAAGCCTCATCTTTCTCCCGCGGAGCGGCTGGTAGTTTCGAACCGCTGACCTTAAGGTTCGCAGCCCGATTCGTAACCGCTACGAGACTGTATATTTATCATATAATTCAGCTTCCACTATATGTTAATATTATTTTAGGTGTTATATGATTTGGGAGATTATTTTTTGGGTTTGGAAATGCCCTCAAAGTTTTCCCATATAAATTAATGTTAGCTTGTGTCTTCATTGTATGCCATTTTGACTTACAAATGTTTCATTAGGGACACTCTGTTTCTGGATAGCATAGGAAACCTGTAGTGTCATTTGGTAGATAAAATGACTAAACAATTTAAAAAAAAATTCTCATTGTAAAAGTGGCACAATAAAAAGGAAGCACCTGAACATCTTAGTCAGTAGATAAAATTATAATGGTTAATTGTTTGAGTATGAAGGATAAGGCAATGAAAACTTTTGTTAGTTGGCTTGTTTATGGTGAATTACAATGTTGACTGCCTTACTACCCCTCTCCTCCCCAATTTTATTTGTTTTTCAGAACTGAACATAAATTATCCTTTGTTAAATATTTTTTTAAAACAGTTATATTAAAATTAAACTATTTTAGCAGTTATAGACGTATTCTTTTTATTAAATCATGTTTTTATTGTTTTCCTTTAAAAAAATTTACTCAGCTTCTTCATATTGGAGTATATATCCAGTGGCAAGTAATGTTGCTAAACTTTTGCCATATTCCTCAGTGCTCACTTGGAATACAGTAAGTTCATTTTGTACTGTGTATATAATTAAAATAGGCTCTTAGCTGTGGGTCAGTTGTATTACATCACTACCACAGTAACCTGTGATTTCATATCTAGGTTGGCTTATAAGGAAGTTAATTGAAATTTCCTGGTGGGGGTATGGGAGGAGTGAATCCTTACCTTTGGCCAAAGGCATATATATACACACATATACAAAGGAATGTTGGTGTGTGCTGGAGTGTTGATGCTATTTCATAGAGACCCTATAGGACAAAGTAGAACTGCCTCACGCGGTTTCCTAGGTTGCATCTTTAAAGTGCTGTAGGATCATCAGTGGACTCCTAACCACAAGGTTGGCGATTCAAACCCACCAGCTGCTCTCCTGACACCCTACATAGGGTCGCTGTTTGTCAGAACTGACTTGACAGAACTTAGTAACCACAGAATCTCTGTAGCAGATCTCTAGGTCTTCTCTCCCATGGAGCCACTGAGGACTTTCGACTTCTGACCTTTTGGTTAGCAGCACAGTGCTTAACCATTGGGCCACTAGGGTTTCTAAACAAAGGTATATGTTGTTGTTGTTGGGTGCTGTTGTCGAGTCAGTGCTGCCTCACAGTGACCCTATATAGGATTTCTAGGGAGCGGTTGGTGAATCTGAACTGAGACCTTGTGGTTCAAACTTGCCTTATGGTCTAGTGGTTGATTCCACAGTGGCGCACCAGGACTCCATTCTGAATCGTGGGGATCCTATTTCAGCAGAATGCAGTACTGCCTGGTCCTGTGCCATCCTCAGACCATGGCTGTGTTTTAGCCAGTGTTGCAGCCACTGTGTCAATCCATCTGATTGAAGGTCTTCTCTCTTCTGACCCTCTGCTTTATCACACATGCTCTTCTCCAAGGACTGGCCTTCCTTCCTAATAAATAGCACATGCAAAGTACATGCAGCAAAGTCTTGCCCTCTTTGCTTCTAAGGAGTATTCTGGTTGTACATCTTCCAAGACCCATTTGTTTTTCTGAAAGTCCATGGCACATTCAGTATTCTTTATCAACACCTAATTGAAATCCATCAGTTCTTCTTTGGTCTTCCTTACATGCATATTGTTGTTAAGTGTCGAGGAGCTGCTGCTAGTGGGTTTGAACTGCAAACCTTGTGGTTTTCAGTCCAGTGCTTATTCTACAGCACCACATTGGGTCTCCTCACATGCATATTGTTAAATTGTTAAGTGCCATAGAGTTGGTTCCCATATATTGGAGTCGGTTCTGACTCGTAGTGACCCTGCATAGGGTTTCCAAGGCTGTAAATCTTTACAGGAGCAGAAACTCTCATCTTTCTTCCAAGGAACCACTAGTAGTTTTGAAGTTAGCATTCCACTCCACCCCCGCACCCCCAAGAGCCCCTAGGCTATTGAAGAATTCATGATTTGAGCCAGGTGCATCTTGTCCTGGCTCAAAGTAACATTTTAGCTTTTTAACACATTAAAGAGGTCTTTTGCAGCAGATTTATCAATGTAATATATCATTTGATTTACCAGTGTAATATATCATTTGATTTCTTGACTGCTGCTTTCACTGGTGTTGACTGTGGATCCCAGTAAAATGAATTTCTTTGATAACTTCAATCTCCATTTATCATGATGTTCTTTATTTTTTCTTTTGTTGGGATTTGTGTTTTCATTACATTGAGGTGTATCATGGCTATAGTTTCTGTTCTTCATCAGTAAGTGTTTTAAGTCATTTCTTCAGGAAGCAAGACTGCCATCTGCATGTTTCAGGTTGTTAATGAGTCTTTTCCCATCCTGATGCCATGTATTCCAGCTTCTTAGATTCTTTGCTCAGCCTACAGATTAAATAAGTGTGATAAAAGGATACAACCCTGATGCACACCTTTCCTGATTTTAATCTATGTGGTATCCTCTTGTTCTGTTTGAGTTACTGTCTTTTGGTTTATGTACAGATATTGCATGAACACAATTAAGTGTTCTGGAATTCCCATTCTTTGCAATGTTATCCATCATTTGCTATCATCCATATAGCTGAATGTCTTTGCAAGTCAATAAGGCACAAGTAAATAGCTTTCTATTATTCTATGTTACCAGCCAAGATCCATGTGGCATTAACAATGATATCTTTTGTTACCACATCCTCTTTTGAATCTGGTTTGGATTTATGGCACTTCCCTGTTGATGCAGGGCTGCAACTACTCCTGAATTATCTAAAGCAAAAATTTATTTGCATGTGATATTAATGATGTTGTTTGATTATATCTGCATTCTGTTGGATCACCTTTCTTTGGAATGGGAACAAATACGAGCTTTTCCAGTTGGTTGGCCAGGTAGCTGGTTGTCTTCCAAATATTTTGGTATAGATGAGTGTGTGTTTCCAGCACTGCATTTGTTTGTTGAGACCTTTCAATTGGTATTCCAACAATTCCTGGAGCCTTGTTTCTCACCAGTGTCTCAGGGATGCTTGACTTTCTTCCTTCAGTATAATTGGTTCTTGATGATATGCTACCTTATGTTCTTTCCAAGGAGCTCTGGTAACATAGTGGTTACGAGTTGGGCTGCTAACCTTAAGGTCAGCAATTCAAAACTACCAGTGGTTCTGCAGAAGAAAGATGAGGCTTTCTGCTCCCTTAAAGATTACAGCCTCAAAAACCCTATACAGGGTCGCTATGGGTCAGAACCGATTTGATGGCGCCTAACACCAACAACATGTTCCTTCCATCTTCTTTTGATGCATACTGCATCTTTCAGTATTTAGCCCATAAAACCCACTTGAGGCTCAAAGTTTTTCTTGAGTTTCTTCAGCTTGAGAAATGTTGAGCATATTGCTAAGGTTTTATAACAGCAGAATTGAAGGTGAAGGCATAGGGTATTTGTTATTTTTCCTTCTACCAGGCAGAACTGAACCTGTATCATCTTGAAAAGGTATTTTAATTTTTTAGTTACTAGAGTGGATTAAAGTTTCAGTGTATTTTCTCCTTATTGAGTAGATTAGCACCTTCATTTTCCCTGCTCATAAAGAAAACTAGTAATGTTTTGGAGCTTCAAGATCAAGTTATCAATCTTAAGAAAACACACTCATTCACCTTTTCTTCATGTTAGTCTACCTACCTTATTTTTAATTAGAAAGTGCTGAACGCAACCATTATTTTCTCTTTAACATGGTGCAGTAAACTGTGTTTTGTTGGACCAGCAAGTGAAAACCATGCATAAGGCTGCCTCTGTAAAAGCTGCCTCCTCTCCTATCATGTTAGGAGCCCTAGTGGCATAGTGGGTTATGCCTTGGCTGCTAACCTAAAGGTCAGCAGTTCAAATCCACCAGCCACTCAGTGGGAGAAATATAAGGGTTTTTGCTCCGGTAAAGATTTTTAGCCTTGCAAACCTTCCACAGGGATGTTATGAGTCAGAAACCATTCAGCGGCACACACCAAGTCCTATCATATTAGGCATTACGATGGCAAACTTAGGAATGAAGGTTTGTGTTATTCACAGCTTTGTTGTTGTTAGGTGCCATCAAGTCGGTACCAACTAATAGCGACCATAGGCACAACCGAATGAAACACTGCTCGATCCTGGGCCAACCTCACTGCTGTAGCCACACTTGAGTCCATAAATGCTGCCACTTGGCCAATCCATCTCACTAGGGATCTTCCTCTTTTTCTCTGACCCTCCACCTCATCAAACATGATATCCTTCTCCAGCGACTCCTGACAATATGTCTAAAGTATGAGAGATGAAGTTTGGCCATCCTGGCCTCCAAGCTGCACTTCCTTCTAAAACTGATCTATTGGTTCTTTTGGCAGCCCATGGCACTTTCGATGTTGTCTTCCAACACCATAACTCAAAAGCATCAATTCTTCTACAGTCTTCCTTATTCACTGTCCAGCTTTCGCATGCATATGAGGTTATTGAAAATACCATGGCTTGGGTCAGGTGCACCTTAGTCCTCGAGCTGACATCTTTGCTCTTCAACACTTTAAAAAGCTCTTGTATGGCATATTTGCCCTAATGCAATACATCGTTTGATTTCTTGACTGTTGCTTCCATGAGTGTTGGTAGTTGATCCAAGGAGAATGAAGTCCTTCACAGCTTTACAACAATTAAAAATAAGAGATCTATTATAATGCCAACCTGCAAAGTGATATGATTAAAAATAAGCAACAACAAAAAAATCTAGAAAAATAAATTTAATTTAGGTAACCCAGACACAGAGAAAGATATACTAAGATTAATTGAGGTAGCTCCCCTTTTATATTTACACGATTTCTACGAACTCATAGCAACCCTGTTTAGGGGTTCTGACGCTGTAAATGTTTGAAGGAGCAGAAAGTCTCATCCTTCTTCTGCAGAGGGCTGGTGGGCTTGAACCACTGACCTTGTGGTTTGATGTCCAGTGCATATCCTCTAGATCCACCACGCTCTGTATATTTCTAAATTATATTCCTTGTTATTGTTGTTGTTGAGTGCCATGGAGTTGGTTCCGACCCATAGCGACCCTGTACAGTGTTTCCAAGGCTGTAAATCTTTGTGGGAGCAGAAAGCCTCATCTTTCTCCCGTGGAAAATCAAATTAATTAATAAATTTTTGGTACAGACAAAAGAAGTGTTTTCTTAAAGGCTTTTTCTTGTCTTTTACTGTTAGAGTTATTGATCTTTCCTGAATTATAAGGGATATGATATAATGATAAGACTATGTTATTGTTGTTGTTAGGTGCCTTTGAGTCAGTCTGACTCTGTCCCCTGAACCCTCCTCATAATTGTTGTTATGTTTGAGCCCCTGACTGCTGCCACTGTTTCAGAACATCTCTTTGGGGGGTCTTCCTTTTTATCAGCAACCCTCCACTTTACCAAGCATGATGTCCTTCTCCAGGGACTAGTCCCTCCTGATAACATGTCTGAACTAAGAGAGGCCATCCTGACTTCTAAGGAGCATTCTGACTGTACTTCATCCTTTACAGATTTGTTTGTTCTTCAGGTAGTTCATGGTACTTTTAATATTCTTTTCCAAAGCCATAGCTCAAATGCATTGATTCTTCTGTGCTCTTCCTTATTCACTGTCTAACCTTCATATGAGGCAATGGAAAACACCATGCCTTCGGTCGAGATAAGGGAATTATTAGGACAGGCCTTCTTCTTCAGGCCCCTTCTTTTGTCTTTAAGAACAAAAGTGACAAAAAACAGACATTGTGGTAATGTGGCAGGAAGTTTGTGGGTTAAACCACCTGGAGCCAGGAAATGCACATCTCAGCTGGCTTCCTTCCCTCCCTCCCTCCCTCCCAGGTACTGTTGTGCTGCTGTTAAAACAGCCGTGGGAGGCCAGGCAGAGACCACTAGTTCCCAGGGCTGTGTTTGAAGATGGAGCACAAATCCACTGGGTCTTCTGGGAGAGTGTCATCCTGACAGACAGTGCTTCACTTTTGTGTTTCTCACCACTTTGTAGGACAGAGGCGTTGTGTAGACATACACTGAGTGACATCAGTAAGTCCTACAAGAAGTGCAATATAAAAGATCCATGGCACTGTGGGTTAATGCACTGGATTGCAAGGTCGGTTTGAACCACAAGGTTGGCAGTTCAAACTCACCAGCCACTCCTCAGAAACCCTATACAGGGTGGCTGTGAGTTGGAGCCGACTTGGTAGCACTTAACAACAACACAGCTGAACCTCAGTGTACTGTGCTTATTTTAGAGTTTACCGTATCACTTTAAACTTGATGTGGTTTGAGTAGGTTACCTAAAAGGTCTCTTCCAATTGTGACATTCTGTGATTCTGTGCTTATCTTTAGTAATAATGTAAATCATTTTGAAACTACCAGATGTTCCATGGGAGACAGATGAGGCTTTCTGCTCCTGTAAAGATTTACAGCCTCGGAAACTCTGTATAGGGTCACTATGAGTCAGAATCGACTCCACGCACATAACAACAACAACAATCTGCAAATGCTCTTAACGCTATACTACATCTTTACTAAAATCTTAACCACAATTGGAACATTAATTTCACACCTCTTCTGTAGGAGACAGATTATTTCTGTAAATATAGGAATTGAATTCTTTAAAGATACTAGAAAATAATGTGCTCTTCCAAGGCACATAACAATGACAACACATAGTAAAGGATTATCCTGAATTATGTTTAGCCTTGTTATGCACCTAAAGCAGCAGTGATATTTTAATGCTGTTTTGAAGTGACCTCCTTTGTTAAATGGTGATAGCATCTGGCAGATTATTAGTATTATATTTTAAATGCATTACAGTAGTCTCTCACACAACAATCTATATACTTTTTGTCTTGTGACATTAGTTTCTATCCCTTCTTCCACTTCCTCCCTGTTTCCATTATTCCATCTTTCCTACCTCTTTCTGTTTTCTGAATGCTGTTTTGAGGCAAATGCTGGCCTTAGGGTCTCTTGTAGTTGAGAGTTCGGAGGAGCATATTCGTCATGGGAGTTATTGTGTGCTTTATAGTTATTGTGTGCTTTATAGTTATTGTTTGCTTTATAGTTATTGT